CAATACGTGATTTATTTCAACTAAAACCTGTTATGGATGGTTACATATTCACAGATGTTGAATCTTTTTTACGATGTACTTGCCCCGAACTTGTGGAGAAAATATTTTAGAATGTTTGAGCTTGATGAAATCATGCGACAGAGAGAAAGTAAGATTTTTCCTGAAATACTTAATCGACTTCGTGAAGGTAATCATACTCCGAGTGATTTACAAAAACTAAAGGAAAGATGTATTGAAGAGAGTACTTGTGCCAGAGAAGCCCCACATTTATTCATTCAAAATGCTTTAGTTGATGAATACAATGATATAGTTTATCAATCATTTGATTGTGATGATAAATACATAATCAACACACAAGATAGCGTCATTGGAGCCTGTTCAGCTGAACTGAGGGAAAAGACAAATACCACATGTTCCTTTGAAAAATTCAAAACAGTTGGCTCATAAACTGCATATTGCTGTTGGACAAGGAACAGAAATTGAAGTGAATATACGCACTGATGATGGTCTGACAAATGGTGCAAGTAATGTCATTAAACATGTTCAATTGACAGATAAAACTAAACCTTGTGGCATCGCCCGGGTTGAGTTTGATGACGAAGATGTTTGAAAGAAAATCCAACAAGAAAATAGAATTCTTTATTGCTCAAGGTACATCTATACTAAGTACTTGGACACCAATAAAACCTGTTACAACGCAATTTGCTGTAGGTAAAACGAAGTCTGCTCAAGTGGTAAGAAAGCAATTTCCTTTAAGGAAAAATTTGTTTTCTTAATGCAAGATCTTCGCACAAACACATTAAAGATGTACGAAAAGATATTAATTATACATCAGCTGATATCCTAATTTTTTCCAAAACGAGATTTAGTGCAGATCCTGGTGAATTGTACGCAATTGAAGGCTATGAGTTATTCAGAAATGATGGCATTTTTAATCTCAACCGTCCATATCATGGAACAGCTGTTTATTCTAAACTTCCTATGATGATTGGATATCCTTGTGCAAGAAACTGTCATGGGATAGAGGTAACTATTATGAAGACGGTAGAACGTCCAGACCTAATTGTAATTGGAATATACAGACCTCCAACACTTGCACTATTATCTCTTTTGGCTGCCATTTCTATGACATTTGGAGGAACATCATTCTCCACAGGTTATAATCATTGGAGTCTTTAATGTGAACTGGCTTGATGAGATAGAACGAAGATCACTGTACAATCTTATAATAAATGCCAATGGTCTCGAGCAACTTATATCTAGTTCTACAACAGATAATAGAACATTGATTGATCATCTGTATACGAATTTGATTGAAGAGGATATCCAGGCAGGTACTCTTGAAACTTACTTTAATGATCACAAAGCAATTTGGGCTTCTCTTAAGGTAAAGAGGTAATTGCATTCAATCATAGCGTTAGCATGTTACAAGAAGAACCATAGTATTGAGATGGTTAGATGAACCCAGGCCAATAAACACCCAGGCCAATGTTTATTGGCCTATCTCCAATTAAACAAAAGGTGAGCATTTATTTTTTCCGTTTTTTTTTCAGTTTCCTTCCAATTTTACCATTTCCTTTCCCTTTTAGGTTCTGGTGGCATATTTTCAAATTATTCAAATGATGTCGAAGCTAAAACACTTTTGCAGAATCCCCAATCGATCCCGCGCACACTGGTCCACGTAAAAAACCACTCAGGGGACTGTATTGTATCGTTTATTTAAAGATTCTATTTACAGCGTGAGTTCATGCTTCCTCTACGATCTGACTCAAAAGTTGTATCAAAACTCAATGCAAGCGTTAATTAATAGTGCTATATTACATTACAATGTGTCTTTGTGCCGAATCAACAATGTGTCCTTGTGACGTATTTACAAACAACTAAACTATATTTACATAAAGTGCTAACGTAACTGCTACACACGGAACTGGCGGCGCTGCGCGGGGACCTACAACATCCCACCCACCTTGATTCATACACGTCTATGAATCAAGCATCGCCCTTGTCTTCGCTTTTGAAATCTCAGCAGCAGCTCGTCTCGGACGCTCATGCAGATCATGCAAGGAACCCTCTGCCTCAACTGAAGGGGAATTCCCTTCCGTCCCGTTCCCACCCGGTCGAGCTTGAATTTCCAACGGGTAAAGTTTCTGCACCGGTCTTTTCAGGTAAACTGGTTTACCCTTTCCTGCTATTCTTAACTTAGCTCCCCTAACCTCGCTGTCATTTCCTAAAATTAGCTGTTCTACCTTCCCTAGTTTCCACTTGCCTCGCTTCTCTCCTTCTCCATAAACTACAACTACTTCGCCCTCCTTCAAACTTCTTGCCTTTCGATTACCACTTTTATGAAACTCTCGTAACCCTATGAGATACTCACTTTGCCATCTGGTCCAGAAATGTTGTAATTTCAATGTAATATATTTGAATCTTTCTCCACAACTACTTTCCTCCTAGCTACCTCCCTCCGTGGTATGAAATTAATTGCTCTTCCGTAAATTAAGTGTGATGGCGTTAATACATCGCCTTCGAATTCTTCATATTCTTCTGTCAATGGTCTGGAATTTAATGTGCCTTCTATCTCTACTAATACTGTGTTAAGTTCATCTACTGTTAATTTGGCATTGCCTAAAACCTTCCTGAGGCATCGTTTAACACTCCTAACCATTCGCTCGAAAAACCCTCCCCACCACAGGCGATCTTTCTAAGTTAAACCTCCAAGTTACTCGCTTCGTTAATAATTCTGCTTTTACTTTAGGTTGATTAAACAACTTCTTTATTGCTCTCTCTGCTGCCTTAAACGTCTTGGCGTTGTCTGACACTATTAGGCTCGGCATTCCTCTCCTCGCTGCAAATCTTCTCATGCAACACAGAAATGTCTCCGCAGACAAATCACGCACTAGCTCTAAATGTATTGCTCGAGTCACACAACAGGAAAATAATGCGATATACGCCTTCTTGGATGCCTTGGTGCAACACCTAACAAACAATGGACCTGCAAAATCTACTCCCACATTAGAAAAAGGAGCAGCTTCCTTCACTCGAAAGCCTGGTAAATCTGCCATCTGTCTCCCCCCATATGCCCTTCCTTCTAATTTCTTACAGGTGACGCATTTACCTATAACTCGCTTTACCATTTGCCTTCCCTTCACGACCCAATATTTCGTCCTTAGCCTGCCCAAGGTTGCCCTAACCCCACAATGGTGCACTTCACTGTGACATTTTCTGACAATCAGCTCAGTTAATCTATTATCCTTGGGAATAATGATTGGGTGTTTCGTGTTGTACTCTAGCTCAGAGTTACGCAGTCTACCCTTACATCTTATGATACCTCCTTCTTCCATCAAGCCTAGACTGTTACTAATCTGGGCGTACTTTTTAGCCTCCTTTAACTCTGCCTGAGCCTGTTTAATCCATCTATTTTCCGCCTCGTCAAGCTCCTCTACTGTCAACTCTCCACAGCGCTTTTCCATGCCCTTAGACTTTGCTCGTGCATTGAACCCAAACCTAAGTACCCATGCTGTTACTCTGAAAAGTCGTTCCGCTGTCCCATAATCCTCCAGATTTATCACTTTGCTTATACTAGCTAACTCTTTACTACTAGCTACGACCATTACGGAAGACTTTCGTTCTTCTTCTAAGACCGTACTTGTTTTGGCAGCAGCCTCAAATTTCGGCCACTCCTCCTTAGACCTAATAAGCCAATCAGGCCCCACCCACCATAGCTTGTTATCCTTCAATTGTGAAGCAACTACACCCCTAGACCCTATATCCGCGGGATTTTCCACCCCAGGACAATGTCCCCAATCCTCCTTGTTTGTTAATTTCAGGATTTCATTTACTCTGTGGCGGACGAATTGTTTCCACTCACCGTTGTTCATTATCCAGTAGAGTGCTGTCATGCTATCAAGCCACAACTTCGTATTATCTATACTAACCTGGTTTTCTAATGAATCTTTCACTGACTTTAGTAACTGCGCTAAGAGCCTCGCAGACATTAACTCTAACCTTGGAATGCTAGTTGTTTTAAGAGGTGCTACTCTTACCTTTGATGTTAACATGCGGACATAACTTCCTACATTTGTATAATAAACAACATATACTACCGCACAATATGCTTTCTTACTAGCGTCGCCAAACCCATGTAATGTGCACCCTAAAACCTCTTCCGCTGGATGTTGGTATATGCATCGAGGAATAGTGATTTCCTTGGTCTCAATCAAATCCCTATACCAGATTTCCCACTTTCTTAAAGGCTCTTCCTTAAAGCTGTCGTCCCAACCCGTCTTACTATTACAAACCTCCTGGAATAAGATCTTGGCACTAACTATCAATGGACTTATTATCCCTAGAGGATCGAACAAACTGGCTAAAATGCTCAGGAGGTTCCGCTTTGTTGGCGATAACGTCTCTGCCTTTTCTCCCACCTTGGAAATTTCAAATTTCAGTTCGTCCTTGTGGTTATCCCACACCTGCCCTAAAACCTTATGGCCCTTTGACTCACCCCCTACTGCTCCCAAAGATAACCTAGCATATGTTTCCTGATCATTGATGCTTTGTTCTGACGAACCCTGATCTTTTTCGTGAATCTCTAGTTTACTCCTTAACACCTCACTGTTGGTCAACCCACTTCCTTAATCTAAAACCCCCTTGTGCCATTCTTGTCTTAGCCTTATCATAAAGTTCAAAGGTCTTCTCTACCGTACTCTCACCACTGACCAGGTCGTCAACGTAAAAACTTTCCTGCAACTTTCTTACAAATGCAGCATCTATTTCGTTATACTTTGTTAAATGATGCCTTAAGGTTGCATTCAGTAGAAATGGTGATGCATTCACTCCAAAAACTACTCTACAAAACCTATAAACAACTATCTCCAACTTATCACTTTCTATATCATTGACCCACAAAAATCTCAAACAATCTCTATCCGCCTTATCTACTTCAACATTCAAAAATGCCTTTTCTATGTCACCAACTAAAGCAATCCTATTTTCTCTGAACCGTATTAATATGCTGTTATAATAATGGATTGAGAGAAGGCCCAACATGTAGGCAGTCGTTAAGCGATGTCCCAGACTTACCTTCCTTGGATGATGCGTCATAGACGATCCGGAGTTTAGTGGTCACTGCCTCCCTGCGAATAACTGCCTGGTGTGGTAAATAATGAACCCTTTCAACCTTCTCTAATGCAGATACTGGCTCCACTATCCCTCGCTCTACCTGGTCTCTGATGATAGAATCATACTCTGCTAACAATGCTGGCTCTTTCCTCAGTCGTCGCAGCTGACCCTTCATTCTACTTAAGCTATTTGCATAGTTGTCAGGCAACTTCTTATGGCTCTCCTTCCAGGGCAGTTTGACTGAATATCTACTTCCTGTAAATGATATTTCATCTAAAAACTCTTCATGTACCTTATCTTCCTCACTAATGCCTAACCCTTCAAAACTCCATAATTTTTGCACATTACTCTCCAAACTGTCTTCACTACTCAATCTCTGTGCTACAAAATTCACTTGGACTGGCTCCGCTCTCTCAATGTCTTGTACTCTCAGCGGTCCTGATAAAACCCACCCTAATTCTGTTTCTATAGCAACAGGTTCTCCTGATTTACCTCTCTTGGTTGTCCCTGTCTGAAAGCTCCAAAGGTAGTCTGCCCCTATCAGAACATCTACTTCTAACTCATCTTCTGACTTAGAAACATCTGAAAACCATATACCTTCCAGATGTTTATACTCCCTCCGCGCTATCTCTACATGGCTATTTCCTATGCTACATATTTCCGGCACTACAAATGCTTCCAGTGTGATAACCTTATTTCCGTTAAGAGGTTCAAGCTTTAATTCAACCACTTCCCTGTGCTCGGCTTTTACGCATTTTTGACCGAACGTATTAATTCCTAACAATTCCCTTCTTATACCCCTGGGATTCGCGAGACCAGCTGCTTTGGAAGTAACAAAGGAACGATGACTTCCCGCGTCAAAGAGGACCCGCACCTTAACCACCCTTTCCCCCCTTAAAACGCCACGTGCAGTCTGCAAGGCAACCAGGCTACCAGTTCCAGCATGCAAGTTACTATTAGGAGTAGTCACATGCACATTCGTGTTATTGGGTGTACGTTTTTACATTCGTCATTAGGCTTGGGTATTTCGTCATGCTTACCCTCGCTCTTAGGACTCATTTCGCACAGTGCAACATGATGAGCCCCATCACAAACACTACATTTGTTCTCGACCTTACAACTACTGGCTCTATGACCCTTAGACAAACAAACAAAACATCTACCGTATTTGCGAGCCAAACTCTTTCGTGTCTTCGGATCCTTTACTCCCTCACAGTTCTCGTGTTTGTGGATCTTCAGGCAGAAAGCACAGTTTCCCTTCCTTTCACTCGCTATTAACGTGGATGCAGTTCCATGTTGTTGACCATATTTTCTACCCGACGCCGAACTCCCATCGTTTCTTTCGTACTCTCGACCCGACTCGATCCCACCGCATCGTGCGCTTCACGTAGTTCGAGCTCTTTCTCAAAGGCTTGTAGCATTTCCTCCATTGACCACTCCAGGAAGTTCTGCCCTCTCGTAATAGTCAAGCGAAACTGCTCGGGCAGCTTCTCCATGATCGTCGGAACAACAATAGCGGAATACGAGTTCTCGTTCACCCCCAGGGCTCTCAAGGCGCGGTTATTCGTTTCGCAGCTGTCAAACAACTTCCGTAGTCTCTGCGTGTCCCTTTCTTTGTAAACTGCCGGCAGTTGTATGAGTTCATTCACGTGTGCTCGTTGAACTATGCTTTTCTTTTCGAACCGTTTCTTAAGCAATTCCACTGCACAGTTGTAGTTTGTCCCTGTTAACGCTAATCCGGCAATTGTAGACTTCGCTGGTCCTTCCAAATATCCGCGCAAATATGCAAACTTGTCAACGTCAGACAATGCGTCATTGTTGTCTATCGAGCTTGAAAACCCGTCCCAAAACTCGGGCCACTCACATACTTTACCGTTGAAGTTCTTAAGCTTTAGTTTCGGAAGCTTTGCTCTGACGATCTTTCCCGTACTGGCTGTCGATATACGGCTCTGGTCTAGGTTTCCTTCGTCTTGGCGTCGTCAACAATGCAGTCTTTGTTCACCGGATTCCCGCAGCGCGTCGTCGATTTTCATCAATGTCCTTTCAAATTCTGCGACCGCTTCGTCTGAACTTTCGACCTCTTTATTGAGCTGTGCTTCGGCGTCTTCATCTCCCGAGGCGCTTAGTATGTCAATGATCTGTTCATCGAGTTCCTTTAACCTCTTTGACTTTCTCTCGTAACGTGACCTGGCTTTGTCTCAGCCATGTCAAATCCCTTTCTGCTTTCTCGTCAATCGCTCTCGGAATCGTTTCAACTATCTTCGCTACAAGTTTACTAGCCGAAGCTCGATGAGCTCCTCTCACCCGTCTTTTCCTCGTCAGATCGTCCATACCTTTCGTTGTTCAACTTCACGCTAAATCTTTTACACACGACGGCAGCGCAAATATCACTCGCTCTTTGTCCGCAGCCTCGTTCACCTTTCACAAATCCAGTTCGAAGGACCACTGTTTTGCAGAATCCCCAATCGATCCCGCGCACACTGGTCCACGTAAAAAACCACTCAGGGGACTGTATTCTATCGTTTATTTAAAGATTCTATTTACAGCGTGAGTTCATGCTTCCTCTACGATCTGACTCAAAAGTTGTATCAAAATTCAATGCAAGCGTTAATAGTGCTATATTACATTACAACGTGTCTTTGTGCCGAATCAACAATGTGTCCTTGTGACGTATTTACAAACAACTAAACTATATTTACATAAAGTGCTAACGTAACTGCTACACGCGGAACTGGCGGCGCTGCGCGGGGACCTACAACAAACACTAATAATTTAAAGGTATATAATAGATTAGTATTAAATGCAAGCTACATGTCTTCGTTTTTTGTTAACACAAGTCTTTGCTTTTTACAGATCTGAATCAGCTACAATCACGAAAAAGGCTTTAAAAATGTTGACGTTGCTTGTTGCCAACCGCGTGGATCAACGCCTAGTTAACTCGAAGATGAGAAGACCACAACACAAATATCGGAAATCCTCGTTCCTCTATGCATACATCTTCGTCCACGTCCACTTACCGTAACTGTAATCTGTTCCTTGCAACAATGAATGCCAAACAAGAGCAAAGTTTAAAGCAACATGATCACATGTACGCATTGCGTACCTATTTTTTGTCAGTGATGTCAAATACTGTTTTAATTGTCTGTGTCATTTAAACTTGACTGTAAGTTTTTTAGTAGTTTTAAAATTTCACAGTGGCACGGAAAAAGGACTTTAATTTTCGAGTGGTAAAACAATATTTGTTATTATATATTTGTTATTAAATATAATATATAATATTTGTTATTATATTTATATATAAATATATATATACAACATGTGTAGAACAATGTGCTTTTCTGGCTATCACCAGAGCGCAATGGTGACTCCTGCACTTGGGACACAAGACATACGGTTACACATTGTTGGAATTGTATGGTGAAGTCACCAGAGTGCTCAAACTTCAACACATCCTCACTCCTAGATTACCTATAATAGGTAGTTGTCAAAAGCCTCTAAATTGCCAATATCAGGTAATCCAAGGTGGACAAATGTAACTTCAGTTTTAGCTATATAGCTCAGCGTTCTCAAATCTTCTCAGATTTCGTCTTGGTGTTCTATAAAATGGCGTCCGCTAGCGGTAGTGTAAAGCCGAGTGTAAAGCGTCGTAGATCATCGAAACAAACTCAAAGTTTGGAAACTAGCCTTGAAGAATTACAGAAAGTAGCGAACATTTCGAAGAAACCGAATACCCGAAAAGCATCTAATTTCTTTTATTCCTATCATAGTTCTGGTGAAAGAGTTCCATCCAACAAAGGATATAAATATCGAACACCGGCTGAACGAGCTAGAAAAAGGCCGGCTGCTACACCGGCTGAACCAGATAATACTGCTAGTACGTTGATCGTGAATGCTACTTCATTATTTTGTATCTGTAATATGTAATCGAACTGAGCATAGTGCTTGTTTTTATATCAAATCTCAACATATCTTGTAGATGACTTGGCTAGTGAAATAGTGCGACTAGATGAAGATGAATCCATTGACGAATTTTCAAACAGCACAGCAGGTTCGATATGCTTTTTATATAATAATAATAATAATAATAAATCTCGTTTATTTCGCTCCTGGTAATTTTACAATTAAATTAATACCAATTTACATCAATAAAATACAATCATTATATTACATTTATACAATAAAACTATACTAATTAAGTTAATTTATGGATTAATATCTATATCTATATGTTAAAATGTTTTTACATCTATCTGTCCGGGTCTTCCTTATACCTATTTTGTTTACATTTCCTGATCTTAGACTGTACCCATGCATGTTTGACTGTGTTGTTTTTGTAAGGTGGTGTAGTGTATGATTTGGGTCTTCTAACTTATTCAAATAGTTCCGAGTCTAGAACAAATACCGTATGTGTAGTGTCATACTGCATTTGACCTTCACATTTTGTAATTTATTTTTCAGAAAGTTTGAGCACCTGCATAGATGTCTGTGGTCAAATAACTGAAGAAATTAGGTCCAACACTCAGTCACAGTGGACAAAAAGAATGATATCAGTTGAGACAAATTGGGAAAGCAATAGGTGTTCTATATTTGATGCTCTTCTTAGTAGCCATGCAATACCATCTCCAGATGCCACTTGCTTTCTTTGTAATGAGGGCAATGCTGTCATTCGCTGTCATCAGTGTGGACCGCGAGTATTAATGTGTTCTACTTGTGACCAGCGCATCCATGAAAATAACCCCTTGCATGACCGTGATGTGTGGGTGAAAGGTTTCTTTCAGGAAATACCTCCAACAACCATTGTATTGGATGATGGCTCCTTGGGATTTGTTAGTAAGTTTTACAACTAGTTCAAAGTATTTTGATATTTTTTTTACATACACTAAATATATTATATGTCTCATGTCTGCTGTCTTTGATCAGTTTTGATCAGCTGCTAGGTCAGTGAAATTACAAACCTAAGGCATTATTTGAAGAGAGGCTATTATATCTTACCTGTCTTATTTCAACCCATTATAGGAAGATGTGCTCCATTTGCTCTGTGCAAGGCATGTATGTATTGTAAGGGAAAAGACACGCTCATTCTTGCTCCCTCAAATGAGAATTGCATAGTTATAACTCCAAGAGGTTAGTATTAAGTAATAACTTGTCTGTTTTACAAAATTGATTGGCAAAAATTTCCCATTCAAAACTTTTATGCTGAATTTTGTAATAGGATCAATGTGAATGCTCTATTTTCCCTCAATATAGGACGGTATGACTTGTTCCTTTGTACATATCATTGCACAAAGTGTGAAAAAGATTATTCACCCGTAGTTTTGGACCAAGTAATTTATATATATATATATATATATATATATATATATATATATATATATATATATATATATATAAACTTAAGCGAGATAGATTAAACAAGGTGAGCAATTTTCCTAACATTTTGTGTACACTTTTTGTGCAGATGATATACCAGATGACGACCTTAGAGAAAGCGAATTCGAAAGTAGAGTCGGTGATCAGGTATTTTACTATAAGTTATAGATACCTTTAAGAATGATATTGCTTTCGTACAGTACAATATGTATTATACATTTATAGGGGAAATATAAATCAAGCACAGGAAGCCGATCGCGACTTGCATTGAACGGAGAGAGAGCCTTAATTAAAACAGGGATATTTTGGGCGAAATCCAGGCTAAAGGAAGGCATAACTCTGTTTAAACATATCCCAGAAGGGACATTGGATGAGCTGGACTTTTTACAGAATGATGATGATGACGACGGTGATTATGATGATGTTGATGACGACAATGATGATTTTGGGGAAGATGATTATGATGATGGCCACGAATCCTAAATCCAGCAACAATGAGTGGGTGGCACCCCATGATACCCCTGCCTTCGGAGCAGCTAATACGGGATATTACCTCCCGGGGGACTGGAAGCCTTGGAAGCCTTATAAATATGAAGTCATAAAATTAAAATTTAAAGCTATTATTCTTTTGTTTTCCACTTATTACAATCTTACACAAATTCATTAGGCAGATTTAGCAAACACGACGCGACGCCGATATCCATAGACGGGCACATAACGCCATATTTGCGTAGCATTGTGTTTGCCTAATATTTTTGCTTATTGTGTACGTTGCACACTTTTGACAATTTTCAGTAAATGCATGGAGGTGATTTTACGGTCTGTTCATATGGGGTGGGATAGCTCGGTTAGGTAGGACAGCGATCTAGCGATCAGAAATGTGTTCATATGAGCTGGGATATTTGCCAGGTAGAGATTGCCTTACTTGGATGATTGTAAATGATGCTATTAAAGCATGCTTTTTGCATTCTGGCTTTTAAAATACGCTGACATTTTAGTGTGTTACGCCGGTATCTCACCTTGAACACAAGGTTGAGAATATATGAAAACACTATATACGGGGTGGGATCTCGGCACAACGTCAACATCCCAGCTAACTGGGCTAGCCCACCCCATATGAACAGGCCCTTATAGCACTTTATCATACTGACGGCATGTTTTTGTACACATACATGCATACATACATAAACTTTATTTAGGCAAGGAGAACCATCAATACATAATTTGTGATAAAATATAAGCATAGAGTGAAATAAATATAAGAAAAGTATGATAGATAGATATATAGATAAATTATAAAAAGAAGAAGTACTGTTCTACCTGGTTGCCTTGTGGGAGTCGGTAAATCTGGATGAGTATAAAGATTTCAGATTTGCTTTAAACGAGAAGAGTGATGAAGAATCTCTTAAAGGTTCAGGCAAGCTGTTCCAAACCATACGTAAGATATAAGCACATCCAAATTGCAGATTATAAACAGTTTTCAGTAAAAGGGAGTAAATTTAGCACCCCTATCGTAATAAGTTCATATTATTTGTGTGCTGAAGTGAATAAATTAGGGAGTCACAAAATTGACACCCTCGCTAAGTAGAGGGTTGAAACAATTTTATCAGAAATATATAGGTTAGTTATAAAATTTTGTTTTGATTTATTTAAAGTTTACCGACATACCCTTTACTATAGTAATGAGCACTTTCCAACCCTAACCCTAACTCTAGTCTATTCTGATTACCTTACAATAGCATCAAGAAACACAATCAGACTTTACACACACTGCATGTACCTGAATGCATGCATGCAATTGAATCTTTCAATTACCTGACTGTTTACAGATACGTACAAAACAAATATATACATAGATTTCGAATACACTCATTTAAGATTATCAGATTAAGCATCGAAACGCCTGATTTATTTAATAAACGCAAGATTGCACTAGGTTTTGAAACCCTTACACGAAAACCAAATTTTCTGAAATTTTTTACAGCAATACACAACGCAACAAATGTTTCAACCATTAACTTAAAGTACGAATAAAACTTTTAACTTTTATGCACAAATCATTTATTTGTTAAAGAATACGCACCCCCCTGCTTTACACATTTCATGTTCGAAATTATTATTCCATTATTCCACATAATATGAACCCAAAGAATCTATATATATCAGAAACATGATCCCGAAAGCTGTTTTGCGAAATTGAGAGCAACTTCAAATTTGTCCAATTTTTTCTGATACACCCTGTAGAACGCATTGTAGTTACATAATGCATAGTTGGTGTCATGAATTGATAATGAATTTTACAAGCATGTTACATATATACATATAGTTCTGTCGCTCGTATTTTAACAAGAACATAAAGCCCTGCGCCCTTCACAGTAAAATAAAAACATCTACACTCGTGCTTTAACCTATTTGGTCCACAGTAATTGGTTTTAAGCTGTTGTGGTGTCCCCGCCTTTTGTTGCTGTCACCTTGTTGTTGTTGTTGTTGTTGTTGTTGCTGTCACCTTTATATCCAACCTTAAAACGTGGAGGCTAGTCATACTGCTGCATTCGACAAGTTTGACAAGGTTTACACCAAGTTCTGAGCAATTTTTCGTATTTCTCAACTCACAAAATTCACGTTTATTAATATCATTTGTAATTAAACCGTCCAAAGAAAGCGGTCAAGAGTGCTGAGTGCATGCATATTTCCACTGAGACATCGACGAATGTCTAATGTTTACACGTTTTTGGGGCAGGACAGAAATGGTTGTGTGTATGTGTTGTTGATTGTGTAATTACAGGCGAAGCTAAATAAATAAATAAATAAATATATATAAAATTGTTTGACATAACATTCAATTGTGTTTGCAAAAACACATTGATAGGTTCAGGATAGTACTCGGGATTCAGATTGAAAAAATAACAGTTTACAATTGTACGAGTCTATAGTTGCAAAACGTGGGCAAATGCGTGAGGTAGCCGATATCTTAGTAACAATGTATATTTACAACCAGAAAACGTCGCGAAATTTATTATTTCCAAGCCTGTCGCGCTTCCAGCAACTTTAAAATATTTACAACATAAAGTGCCTATGACACGAAAATTTTGCCTTTTAAAATATAATTTCAATGGAAAGAACTTTTAAAATGGTGATAGACTTTCCTAAACAGTTTCTGCACATCTCCTTTCAATCTCAAGATATTGAGGTTTCTTTAATGTCCAAATTATCCACGCCTACGTCACATTGCATAATGAGTTATCGCAATATTTCAAGTGATTTTCAGTTTCTTGGCAAGTTTAGTAAGAAATGCTTGGGCAGAATGTTATACTATTAATACTTCACAATGAAAGAAATTCTGACCGGCTAGATTAAGACTGTTAGCAAATATACCAGATAATTCAAAGTTCATTATGCAATGTGACGTAGGCGTGGATAATTTGAACATTAAAGAAACCTCAATATCTTGAAAATGAAAAGAGATGTGCAGAAACTGTTTAAGAAAGTCCATTACCATTTTAAAAGTTCTTTCCATTGAAATTATACTTTAAAAGGCAAAATTTTCGTGTCATAGGCCCTTTAACAAATTCTTTCTTTTTTTAGGCTCACAAGTATAGTTCACGTAAGAGTTGAAAGAAAGTATTTGTTATTAGCTATGATGAAGCGCTTCAACATTTTCTTTGGAATTGCGTAGAACGCATCCTTGTGCAGGTACAAGTTTTCCTCTAAATCCTTTCTGCCAAGTGGATGTGGAACTGGGTACTTTTCTTGCACCCAAGACAACATAACGCAGTTACATGTGTCCGGAATAGGATTGCCATGTATGGTGGTATGACTGACGGTTTTTCCAACAGCAACAACTTTCTCATTGTCAACCACAGCATCTGTTAAAAAATAAATTAAATTGGAGGCGAATGTGTGCCAGAATCAATTTGCACGAGTTTAAAGAGAATTATATAACGAAACTAACATATGCACGAGAAAACACGTCCACTATATGGCATGATAAAAAATCAGTACTACCATAGACAAGTACAAATTCGGGTACCTGAAGGCAGCTGAACAGTATGACTACGACTTGATGCTATGCGCGGAGTAAATAAGAGCGGTGTAGGAGGAAGGGAAATCTGAGAAGGGATTTTTGATAAGGAAGGAGTGGATAAAGAAGTGACAGCAGTAGGAGAAAGGTTGGATAGAGGCGAAGAAATGTTGGATAACGGCGGAGTGGCAGTCGATGATGGTTACTGTACGGTGGCTAACAGCGGAGATTCAATGATTAAAGTCGGAAGTTTGGTGGTTTACGGCGGAGGTTCGTAGGTAAACGGAGGAGGTTCGGTTGTTAACGAAGGAGGTTCGGTGGTTAACGGAGGAGGTTCGATGGTGGACGGAGGAGGTTCGATGTTTAACGGTAGAGGGGCGGCTGATAATGGAGGCGGAGCCAGTTCACTCGGTGGTACTGTAGATAACTGCAGATAGTTAGTTAACAGTGGCGAAGAGTCCGGTTTGGTTGTTTTCTTGTCTATTTAATATTAATAAATATAATTCAAATACTCGTGCATTAATTATTCAATCATGCTTAACATTTGGGCCTTAGTATACTGTATACTCAAAAATAGTACATTAAGGCCCGTATTCAAAAAGCTCACTCACACTCAAACTCATTGAGTGGGAGATCTTAATCTGCCCATAACGTTTCAATGGCGGTATTTTCAGCCGAACAGGGGCTTGATTTTCAGTGATTTACCTTATATCTTTTCATCTATTGAGAGAAAACTTTCTCATTGATCAGCATTAACAAAATTTATATGTCACACTCAATGAGTGTGAGTGTGAGTGAGCTTTTTGAATACGGGCCTAAATGTTAAATACAAATATTTAAAAGATATAAAACGCATAGATACTTACCATTAATAAAGGAACAGAAGACACCCAAAACTGCTTTTCCAGTTTGAGTACCATTATGAGAGGTCCCTATAAAGGCCTCTGCCAGACCAGCAAATGTAACAAAATGTAACAAAACTGTTGCCACGTGCATGTTTGTGGCTGGCCATAACCACGATGTCCCAGCCATGGTGATAGTTTAGAATCTTTGCCTGAATGATTAAATATATATAATGATTAAATAGAAATATATTTATTAATTCAAACGCTCTCACACCAAATGTTTTTTAATAGACAACCTTTCGGCTATCAGATCTATAGCCTTCAACGGGTAACTAATTAAAGACACAGAGACAGGACGGTCGTTTGAGACAAGGAAGAAAGAACACATCAGGAATACTAAGAAATTTGAGAAGAATTCTAATGTAGCCAAACATGCTTAATTGCGAATTGTCACACGAAATTGATTTCAAGGGAGGGAAAATTATAGATAAAGGGAATTATTGGATTAGGAAAACTTTAGCATCTTGGCATACAGCTATTATATAGATGGTGCAGACAACAACTCTAAACATTTACCAGAACAATATTCCTATATTCTCCTAAAGAAACACTAATTACATTCCTTAAATACTTAAAACACTTACCAAAACAATATTCTATCCTCCCAAAGAAACACTAATTACATTCCTTAAATACTTAACATTTTGCATGCTTACTAATTACTTAGTCATTACATCATGTTAAAGTATAAATATGTCACTGTGTCTTTAGTTAGTTACCCGTTGAAGGCTATAGGTCTGATAGCCGAAAGCTTGTCTATTAAAAAATATTTTGTCAGAGAACGTTTGAATTAATAGGGACCTTACGTTCGGTCGACGGCTCTGCAAACGGCAACGGCGACTTGCGTGAATGTTCAAATGCGCATGCGCGGATTGAAATGTTGACGTTCTGTCTGAGCGGGCCCGACGCCATTTCTCGAATTTCACGTTGTGTGAGAACGGCATTCTACTAGTATGTCTTCGGAGAAAACAACATCAAGGTAAATTGTTTTGATAATATGGGTTAAACATTTTGTATATATTTTACTCTTTTTTAAAATATTTATAAGGCGTTTTATAATTTATACATGATTTTTTGTAATTTAATATTAAAGGTTGTTTACAAATTATATCAAAGCTTGTAGCCAACATCATAGTAAATTGTTTTGATCATATAGGTTAGATATTTTTGTGTATATTTTTAATTTTTTTACTTCTAATGTCAAAGATATTAAACAAGGTGTAAGTAAAATAAGAGGGTATTTATAATGTCTAGAAATATTCTTGAGGCATGAAATTATAACCCTGCATGGTGCTGTAAATATCTATGTTACTTTATTTTGTTGATTTATTTTTTCTAATTATTCAGTGCACCTATGAAATGGACAGAGCTACATGATCAGCTGCTTGTACGGGAAATTTTGCTTGTGCAGCCATGGACAAGCAAAAAAGCATCCCCTGAAAGAGGAGAAGCATGGTTAAAAATAGCTACTTCATTGAATTCTTTGCAATCTCCAGTCTTTCGTGTAACCCAAAGGTCTGTGCGTGACAGATTTACCCTGCTTGAAAAGAAATACAAGAAAAAAGTCCGGGAAGAAACTCTTGCCAGTGGAATATGCTGTGAAGAAAACGAAGTGGATCTTGGCATGGATGAAATTGTCTCATTGTTTTATGAAGCTGACATGGAGCATGAAAAAAATGCAGCTGAGAAAAAGAAGAAGCTTGAGGAGGATGCGAATCAAGCTGCGGAAATGAGACAACAGTCCCTTGAATCATTTGGTGAAACTCGCAAGAGATCTGAGTCAGCTGCTGCTGATCCGACTGATCACACAAGTACCAAAAGAAGAAGAAGTAGTGGTTCAGATATGGTGACATATTTGAGTGAGAAAAGTGAGCGAGAGGCTGAGTTAAAGAAGAAGGAACTGGAAATAATGAAGCTCCAAACAGTCAAAGATAATGAATTAAGAGAGAATGACATGAAACTTAGAAAGGAAGCAATGGAGGCAGCCCAAAATCAAAACAATTCCATGATGAATCAACTTGTTGAATTGCAAAGGATTCAGCAACAGCAGTTTATGCAGTTGATGAGGCAACAGCAGGAACAAAGTTCATGTATGATGGCTCTGTTGAATAAGTTAACTTCACAAAAATAAACAAAGGCATATATGTAGCATGCCATTAGGTAACAGTTACAGCAGGTAACAAATTATTTTCATGTTAAGAACAGAACAAATGAGAGTAGATTTGTTTACAAGTCTCAATGTTGGTATTTAAATTTTGTTCATATGTTCAAGTTAACTAATTAAGTATTTATAACTTAGACTGTTCATATTTTACAACCATGGTGCAACTGTTTTAATTTTTACAACTGTGTTCATTTTATCATGTACTGTTTTAAAAAACACTTATCATGAACAGTGCTTTGTTTTGTATATTTACACAAAATATTCTTGTATATTGGGTGGGTCAATGCCAAAGTATTTGGCTGTTGATGTGCCATATAGGCATGACCGTGCATTTTCCATAAGAGCACACACCATATACATCTTCCCAACTGCACTTAAACGTACTTTTAAATTTTTTTTAAAGTCCATAAATTTGAAGTAATTGACTATATCGCCAAATACCCATTCGACTGCAATTCTTACTTGGCTCATAGATTTGTTCCACTGCTGCTGTTCTTCTGTAAGCACAGCCCCTTTGAAAGGTCCCAGTAATTGTGGTCTGAGAGGGTAGGCGGGATCTCCATATAGGCACAGAATATCTCCTTGAGTGTTGAATGAATGCTGCTGCAGCTCGTTAAGGATACCTGACTGGGCAAGCATTGCACTATCATGCCGCTTTCCTTCCATGGGACCATACAGATTAGCTATCATGCCAGATGGTGTTACAATGGATTGGAACTTGATAGCATGGACTTTCTTGTGTCCATTATAAAGTATACGCTGAAATCGACCAGGTCGTGCAACAGGTCGAACAGTCCCGTCGATAAAACCCCAGCAGTTTTCTAGGGCTGCACCTTTCTGGTGTATAACTGCGGCAAAAGTTTCCAAATTTTCTGGTTGCAACCAGCCCTGGTCAAAATTTGTGAGCAAATGGTGCCATCGTTCATGAATTATATTCAGAACTTGATTCGATATCATACACAACTGAGGTTCAGGTCTGGCAAATCTATGGATCATATCTACATATCTGCAGGGATATGCAAACCTCTTCAGGAAAATACACAGCCCCTCAATTTTATCGACTTTTAGGCCATTATAACATTTTATTTCAATGGGCAATTCCAGTATATCTGCCAGGTTATAAACATCATTTCGGAAGAAACGAAACTCTGCTAAACATTCATCATCTGTCATTTTATCTATATCGAAGCTAAAATAACGCCAATATGGTACTCTTGGGCTCTTTGGCTTAGTTGCATCATACAACAGAGCAAATTCCTCATCATTTATACCGTTTAAAGCATGAGCGAATACCGTAATTTCTCGAAGACTAGGCATTTTAGAATTTTATAAATTGTGTTTTTTTGTTCCAAATTTCCCGCCTTTTTTGCAAAAAACGTAATCACGAATAACAGGACGACGGCAACCCGAACGCCGACGGGAGTTTCTTATCTAATAAGGTTGCCGTTGCCGTTGTCGTAGTGCCAGCGTAAGGTCTTTAATATGTCTTATCCTGGCTGCGCATCCTCTATATTTAAGAAATATATTTACCACCTGATTCCTATATGAATCGTACAGACTGCATGGACAAGTTTTGAAAGCTAAAACCATATTGTATATACATATACACAGTATATATACATATATACATATATATATACATATATATATATATATATACATATATATATATATATACATATATATATACAATATATATATAATATATATATATATTATATGTATATACATATATATATATATATATATATATATATATATATATCTATATATATATATATATAATATATATATATATATATATAATATATATATAATATATATATATATATATATATATATATATATATATATATATATATATATAATATATATAGATATACATATATATATATATATACATATATATATATATACATGTATATACATATATATACATATACATATATATATACATATATATACATATATATATATATATATATATATATATATATATATATACATATATATACATAAACATATACATACACATACACATACACATACACATACACCTACGCCTACACGTACATGTGTACCCGTACACGTGTACCCGTACCCATACCCTAACCCACACCCACACACCCACACCCCCACACCCACACATACACCCACACCCACACATAAATTAGACTGGTAGTCAACTCTAAATTGAGACTAGTGTATTCACTGTATGTATTGCCCTTGTGTTCGGTTGCAAATATGTCAAATTTCACGTCATTTTCTCATTCCAGCACAATGTAGTTGTTGATACCTTCAAGGTTGACAACTATTCAATTGCTATGAATGAAACCCGCCGATAACTAAACAGAAGATTTTGTTGGCAGTCACATTCTGTGTATACTGTATGACTTGATCTCCATCTCATTGAGCGTATACAAGAAAATTTGTAATTCTTGACTTCCAACCATGCTATCTGGACACACCAGACAATGTTGCTCACCCACTTGCTGGCTGGTACTTTCAATGAGATTAATAAAATATTCTTTTGTGCTATACCACCAACATATTTGTATTGCTAGTCATCAATGCAGTGCAATTTCATAATCTCATGATTATGTATAATACAGGCCTATTATTTTAATATAGACAAAACACATAATCACACATGGCCCAATATAATAACTGTTTATATTTATAACTGTTTACTATACCCGATGTTTGAGCATATTAAACTGCTTTGTGGCATTCGTTTTACCCATGTTGGCAATTTTTTCGTCTTGAATGCCAATTTGGTCGTTGTTTCTCGACAGTGGCTCCTTACATTTACGGCATTTCTTTGCTGCAGGGCCGTTATTTTCATTGCAGGTAACACACTGTTTTGGACGACCGACCTATATACAAATACAAATTATTTATGAGTATACATGTCAAGGTATTCAAACTATTGAGTGCGGATATTCCAGATATGCAAATTTCAAATTGTGAATAATCAATGTTGACAGTGCACAAGACATCAAGCGGATATTTGCGGCTACAAATCGTACCATAATCTTGTCGGACATACTGAACGCAGTTTCGCTAGACAGAAAAATAACGACAACTTGACAAGAAATATATATCGTGAGTATTCACAATTTCGCGACGTGAACAATTGCGGAGAATAGCTTCCCGCCAATTCTGCGATCCCGGAAGTTACTTGTTAGCTACATTTGTGCACCTTGGATTACCTGATATTGGCAATTTAGAGGCTTTTGACAACTACCTATTATAGGTAATCTAGGAGTGAGGATGTGTTGCAAACTTATACAAGTGAGCTTTGCATAAAGCTTGTGGCGAACGTCTCTCGATGAGACTCTCCACACAATTCCTAGAGTGCTCTAACCGCATTCGCAGTGAGCGTAATACAACATGTGTAAAACAATGTGCCCTCCCGGCTATCACCAGAGCGCAATGGTGACTCCTGCACTTGGGACACAGGACGTACGGTTACACATTGTTGGAATTGTATAGTGAAGTCACCAGAGTGCTCAAACTTATACAAGTGAGCTTTGCATAAAACTTGCGGTGAGCGTCTCTTGATGAGACTCTCCATATGAAAATTAATGAAGGCTAGGATGCAATACAATCAAGAAAAAAAATAATATATACTTACTGGTTTGTGGTTGGCACAAGGATGCTATTCACAACACTCATAATGAGATGCAAAGCGGAAATAAGATTCAGAAAGTTAGGAAATGCAAATACTTGAATATGTATGAATGCCGGGCATACCTGGAACAGATATAAAAGCGGTACACACCCAAATACCGGCTTCTTGCTCAGTTTCACGGTCAGACGTATCATAAACCAGAAGCCGTTTCAAGTAAAGCCTTCGCACACACCGACGCAAATCAATGGACAACGAACAACAAGATGTACAATACCCAGAAGTAGCTGCACCGGCTCAACCTGACATTAATAATGCTATGGAAGCAGCGCCAGCCCCGATGAACGCACCACAAGTTCAAGATCAAGCTGCGCTACATGCTCCACCGGAGCAGGGGGAATTAGAGGTATTGGTTTCGTTTATTCCTATCTTATTCAATTTCCTACAGTGCCTTTTGGTCGGGCATCAATGTGCTTCTTTGTTGGTTATAACTTATATAACTGTATTAGTTATGAATCTTTCCGCAAATTCCTGTTTTTATTTCACCTTGTGCACCATTATGTTCATGACAATAGAGATGCTAGGTCTTGATTTTAGTCTTTGCTATCACTTTATTTCCTTAATGTGCAATACGTACACTACGGTTCTTCCTTTGGGTTAGCATGAAAGCATGAGATTTCACTGTTAAACTGTGACTTGAACTAATTTACAACTGCATGAGGTGTGAAAGCATGAGATTTCACTGTTAAATTGTGACTTGCTTTTGTCATATCTGAGGCGTGAAAGCATGAGATTTCACTGTTAAATTTTGACTCGGTTTAGTCATCTCTGAGGCATGAAAGCATGAGATTTCACGGTCAAATTGTGACTTGAATTAGTCATATAACGGAGGCGTGAAAGCATGAGATTTCACTGTTAAATTGCGACTTGGACTAATTAAGAACTAAAGCGTGAAAGTATGAGATTTCACTATTAAATTGTGACTCAGATTCGCCATAGCTGAGGCGTGAATGCATGAGATTTCACTGTTAAATTGTGACTTGGACTAATTAAGAACTGAGGCGTGAAAGCACGAGATTTCACTGTTAAATTGTGACTCAGATTGGTCATAACTGCGGCGTGAAAGCATGATATTTCACTGTTAAACTGTGACTCGGATTAGTGATAACTGAGGCGTGAAAGCATGGGATTTCACTGTTAAACTGTGATTTGGACTATTCCGGATCTGAGGCGTGAAAGCATGAGTTTTCACTGTGAATTGTGACTTGGATTAGTCATAACTGAGGCGTGAGGGTATAAGACTTCACATTTTCATTAAGAACTGAGGCGGGAAAGCATGGGATTTTTCACTGTTGAATTGCGACTCGGAAAGTCATAACTGAGGTGTGAAA